TAGTCTTTCTAAAATCTTGGAAAAAGTCGAGAGCAATGATATTGGGCGATAGTTCGATAAATCATGTATATCACCTTTCTTAAATAAAGGTATGACTTTTGAAACTTTCATTGATTCAGGAAATGTTCCAGACATAAATGATAAATTAAACACATGGGTTAAAGGTTCAACAATATAGGAAATTAACTTCTTTATAACGTATGGTGACATATCATCCACCCCACATGAGTGTTTATTTTTCAAGGAAGAGGATAACTTCAAGATCTCATTTCGATCTGTTGGTGAAAGAAACAAAGAATGCGTTACGCTGGTTTTCAAATAGTCACGAAAGCATCCAGTGGTCTGGGGATCATCAAAACAACCAGCATTAACGAAAAACGAGTTAAATGCATTTGCAATTGCTTTTGGTTCAGTAAGCCTTACACCATCTTTACGAATGAATGAGGGTAATTTCGATTTACTATCTTTACCAAGCAGGTTGTTCAGAGTTTTCCAAGTGTTCTTTAAATCATGGCGATTTGATTCAAGCTTTTCAGCAAAGTAGTTCTTTTTGGAGACACGTATAATGTGAGTAAGCCTATTTCTGAAAGATGTGTACTTTTTCTTCACGGAGGGGTTTTTCAGTTTTAAATACCGCTTATACAAGCGTTCCTTTCTACCAATGGATTTGAGAATGCCTTTCGTAATCCATGGTTTTTTGGATGATCTACGTCTATCCTTGCCAGGTATTGTTTTCGAATGCTTTGAAATCATCTGTTTAAAATCTTGAATAAAGGTATCGTAAGCTTCGTTGACATTGGTTTTGGATGTTACCAAAGACCAATCATACAATGCTAAATCTTCACACAATGAGTTAAAGTCTATTCGGTGTTTAACTTGACTCGCATTGTTCCTATTCAAGTGGGTGTGGTAATTTGGTGGTAAAGAGTTCGTTACTTGAAAGATGGGAAAGTGATCAGACACATCTGAATACAAAATACCAGGCAGGATTGGCTTATTCAAAACATTTGTAAAGATGTTGTCAATACAAGTAGATGAGTTAGTAGTTACACGGGTTGGTTTCGTGATAAGTGGGAGAAAAGAGGAGGAGTACATTGTATCGATAAATGCATTGGTATCCGAATGAAGGGCGTAACTAAGTAAATCAAAGTTAAAGTCTCCAGCAATATAACATTGTTTATTCTCTTTGTTAACTTTACCAAGACATTCTTCAAGATGGTCATTAAACTCTGCACCACAAGTATCGGGAGATTTGTATACAGTTCCAACGATTAGATTCTTCCCTTCCTTTACGATTTCAATAAAAACAGTATCTATAGTTGAAGTACAAAAATCCAAATCCGTCCTTGGTTTGAAGGTGACATTGTCCCTGACGTACATACACACACCCCCGCCTACACGACCAATTCTATGTTTTTGAATAAGTTTGTAATTAGGCAAATTATAAAATGAATGTGGGTCTCCCTTAAACCAGGTTTCCGTAAATGCGTATATTGTGAAATCGTGGTGAAGTGTATGTATGTAATCTTGAACATGAGAAAACTTTGATATAAGACTACGAGCATTCAAGTGGAACAATGAAAATTGACCTTCTGATTTTCGATTATTAATTTTAACATTGAAGGTGTCATTGAAATAATAATTACAATCAGAAATATGGTCATCTAACCGGGAACTCATCACTTCATTCAGGGAGAAAATATCAAATTGTAAATCATCGTGACTTCCATTATGAAATGAAGGGTGGTCTATTTCAAAAAAGGTATGAATAGCGAACTTAAAGTCTAAATCATCAACTATGTGATTAAAAGGTATGGCATTACTTAAACAAGGTTGGCATATCCAGGGTAATGGATATGATTCTGCTTTAGCACATGTTACATGACATATACTTCCACATGAACAAGCATATATAGATTGATTCTTTTTTGTGCACTTATAACAAATAGTACAGCGCATTTTAAATAGAATGCAGTATCAAAACGAACATACATGAAATCAATAATAATATTTAACGAGCAAAAGTAGAAAATTAAGATAAAGCTTTATGCATCACAGTTCAAAATGTCCGAAATCATTCATGAAAGTTTAGTTCAGATAATCTAGCAAAATGACTTTCACGGGTTACCTTGATGCGTCCACCACCGGGTTTGTTGACGATGATTACACCGTCCTGTGTCCATACTCGATGTTCTAACCTTCAAAAACACCTCATTTATCTTATGCATGTTACGTTTGAATACAATACATAGGCCTACATCAGCTTTTCAATAAAACAAAAATAAGTTTTGACATAATAATCTTTCTCCAAAATATCGAACTGGAGTATTCTGTTGTTTTGCTTGTTATGTACATACAAAGAGCTTATTTTCAAGAGGCACTAGATCCATGTGTGTAACTTAATAAAGAACTCTTTGTTTACCCGATTTTGTTCAGGTGTCTATGAAAAATTGTTATTACAAGATGCATGTGTTCATAATTTCTCTCGTAATTTAGGTTAATAATTTTGTTCAAGGTAAATAAAGGAAATGTATATCATTATCTCCATTTGCTATCAAAAGATTTTGCTCCTTTCGGAAAATAGCTCTTCAAATGTTTTGCATGTAGAGATATAAATAAACAAAGAAATGGATGAAATCACTAAAACAAAATAGATACTGAGTGTGAATCAGGGAACAAACTGAAAGTTTCGTCTCCTACATGCTGCCATTTGGACAAAACCGTCTTTCTCTTCAATGATACAATATTTTATTACTTTACTTGCATTATGAAGAAAAAAACGCATCATCAACCGCACATAGTCATAGCTTTAAAATCACTTCAGATTGAACTGGCCAAAAGCCATGTGATATTCTTGCTCTTTACTTTTAAGAGTTCTTTATATTGAGGGATTGGTTGATAATTTTTTCTTGGCAATAATGCCCAAATTAAAAGAGTTAAACAAATACACGACTATAACTCCTAGCTCGTTTTGAAAAATGTTTTAGGAAATATCAGGAAATAAAATGAGTGAAAAAATAAAATAGAGATACAATGACGTGAATTTTAAAAAGGGTGAACAGAAACAACATATCTAGTGAACTATCTTATAAGTCATACTAATGACTGATAATCTTTCTCCTTGTCTCCGATCTCATCACGAATTCATCACAGAGTTCATCTATGTTTACACTGTCCAGGATTGTCTGATGTGCATTATAGATTGCTACTTTTGCGCTTCGCCCTTAATATTATTTTAGCTCGTTGCTTTTTAACGCTGCGGTTTTGCATTTGGCGCACTGCATTTCTATGATGCTGTTGATTGAATAAATTGAATAAATTCATCAATCTTGATGAAGCCGTATGTGCGAGAATTCAATTTATTCTTGTCTCATATACGGTTGTCTCATTTACTTCGTTTTCTATTTATATTGTATGTATTATGAAAATGAGATAGCAAAATGTGTATATTAATGGTCATCTTGCGAGTAATAACCATTAACTACTTTCATCGGGCTCTCATCCTCATCATTAATTTTATCTTCATTTGTTTTTGAAGGTGAATTATTGGGGGGGGGGGGGTGATTGTACAGGTCATCCCCCACCTGAAATATTGGGGGGGGGGTATATCCCCCCCCCCCCCGAGATCGACACCCATGGTAGTAAGATTGGCTCGACGTTTCGTTGGGTCAAGTTTTTTCCACCTCTTAACAATCTGACTCTCTTCCGTGTGCGATGGATAAGGATACAAAGGGTAACCACAACGGGGGAAATACAAATGTGACTAAACATGCATAATATACCTCTAGTCCTCTACAATATAATTAATATGAGAATGGTAGTCTGAGGATTCAATTTCGAGCGATCGAAATTTTGATATTTTTTTAGGTCCGTTAATAAACATGGCAAAATTACTCAACAGCCATTCAACGAAGGTTTCCATGGAAGATACCATTAAAAATGCCAACGTAACAATAAATGCTAAGTTTTATGCAACGGGGCCAAGATCTTATTAGAGAAAATAACCAATCTTGATTGGTTTTTAAGAATAATCTCGTCACAAAGAAGGAAGAAAATATTAAGGATACAGGATACACATAATTATAATTATAGGTAAGCGAGCGCGGTGACCGATTGTGGGGAGATTTAAGAAAATTGGCTCTTATGTATACAGTCCTGTTTTTCTCTTTTGAGAAAAAAATATCACACTTTCTTTGAAAGTTGGAGAATATGCGAGGGAGTGGATCAGAAAACTGTTGTTTCAAGGAAAGGGAGATAAAAATAACTCTCCAAAACTTCTATTGTAATAATGCCTCTTTTCAACATGAGCTATTGACATTTGGTAATGTGCTTTGAAGTTGCCTTGAGGAATTTATAAACTCCCTCATCGTCTAAAACTTCATGTTCCTGAATAAAATCATATTCTGTATAATAATATTAACGTGCAGATTATTTTATGTATTGATTTTGTTATTGTTTGTTATTATAATTTTTGTTATTGTTTGTGAAAAGCAATGGAGAAAATAAAATATCATTGGGAAAAAAAAGGGGTAGATTGATAGGTCAAGCATTTACAGGGCACCTATTTAGAATCTATGTAGGACACCGCCTAATAATTATGCAGACGGTCATTTCCTTTAAAGTTTCAAAAGGACAGCTGGAAAAAGCACTTTGTGAACGACAACGTAATGCTGTCAGGGTGGGAGGATGTGGTCTGGATTGGAGTTCATAGATGTTTATGACGAATAATTTGGTAATTGCAATCTTTTACTTAAAACGCTGGTTCAAAATGCATGCCGTAAATATTGGAAATAATTATATGAGTTTATACAGGAAGACAAGTATTTAACTATCTTGTGCAGGACTGACCTGGCTTGTGATCTTGAGTCAACATGCAGGTAGACTTTAATACAAACTATTTTGAGCATACGCCTCAATGCTTGAGAGGCATATGAATATGAAACAGACTACCAGCATTTCCTTGTATTTTATGAGAGCGTTGCATACTATTCCAATACAGGCAATCAGTAGTAAACTGATTGTACATTTCGATAGAATTAACGCTATAGGTCCCTACAGATAATGACGGCTGCGTGTGAGTTGTCATGCAGACGTTCTGTATGCATTAACTGCTTTGTTTTTATCGTTAAGTCAACGTTCCGTCGATTATCAGACAAATCCGAAATCTTGCGCTAGGCCATCGCAGCTTGATTCAAGGGATTGCGTCTGCAGTTTGCGCCTGGACCAGTTCTTTCCATTAATAGGGACTTACAGATTCGCACGAAGACAATAGGTCTATGCTACGATCTACGTCCTTTTAATGCACTGCCTTGAATGGAAGTCACACGTTTCAGTCCACGCAAATCTAAAAGTCCCTAATGCCTGAAACGCCCTTACGTTATGTACAATGGGTCTTGAGATCATCGGACTGTATCGTCTTTTCAGCTCTGGATCACCATTAAGTTCTTGATGAAACATCGCAGAGAATTAGGAAGGACTCTTTTCCCTCTGAGAAGACTTTTATTGTCACTTTCTCTTCAGTCTAATGGTTTTGCTATAAAGCCGCTTTTCCAATCGCCTGAAGGACGTTTTTTTGAAACAGTTTTGTTGTCAACTCACGAAGGTTTACAGTGGTGGTCTGGTGGACAGATTCACTTGCTATCAACAAGGCGATCGAGAATTTTAAAATGTGGTAGAGAAAACGAGAGATTGAACCTTTGGCAATGTGTGTGAATCGGATCTCGATCTTGTTAACGGGTGAGTATTGTGTAGTTAAATAGGACATTTTCGTATAATGTAACCAAAATTAATGTATGCACCATGTCTTTGTGAAGCGCGTGATACGAATTAGTAAGCTGTTAAGACTAATTGTATTTCAATAGTCAGAATTCAAATTGCAAACATTAGTTGTTACTACGTAAGATAACCGTTATGGGTTGCCCTACCCATGGATCTATTACCTATTAGGTCCATGCCCTACCTACCAACTCGTTATAATATGCGATTTGCGTTCTGACTATTGACAGAAATACAATTCTCCGTAACAGGTGAATGAAACAATTCGTATCGAGGCACTTAGGGATACATTTGGTTATATTACGTGAATTGCCTATTGTTATTTGTCGGTTTCAATCACTTATTTATTCTAGGTATTTGTTGTTGTTGATGGTGACACAGAGAGACAAAGAGGGATAGATGGGAGAGAGGAGGAAGGATAGAGAGAGTGAGAGAAAGAGATGGAGAGGGAAAGGTCTCACAGTATTAATTAAATCAGATGTGAAAGAGCTCGATGTGCAATTGCTTGAAGATTGGGAATGCTGTTGTATAACTTAGCCCACTTGTAGAAAAAAAAAACACAGCGTTTGCAGTTGTTTTTTTCGGGGTTGAGGGAAGGAACAATTATTTTACCGTAGCTGATAAGGTCTTGGGGTATAAAATATATTTTCAGTTAAATTATTTGGTGTCGTGTTATTGAGGATTTTAAAACATCATTACACTAATAAGGAATTTCTGGCGAGATTTCAAAGTCTCTGAAGTAACATACAAATGTAATCGAAGCTTTATTTTCATAATAGCTCTTCCTGCTCTATTTTGTAGTTTTGTAATTGATTTATATGTTTTTCATAGGAAGACTGCAATATCATGTCCGCATAACCTAAATAAGGTAGAATAACAGATCGGTATATAAGTTTTAAGTTTCTTCAATGCATGTATTTTCCTAAACGAAGGATAAATGAAACCATGCGACCAGCCTTTTTACAAAGATGATTTACATGTACATCCAACTTCAGTTGAATCTCACATGATTGATTACATTATCCCTGGATACTAGTGTCAAGTCTGTTAAAACTTGTTGAGCATGTGTCTGTTTCCAATGAGCATGCTCGTGGTTTTGTCCTGATTAACGATAACAGTTTATTTCTGCTCATCCACCTGTCCAGGCTGTGACCATTACCGTATTTAGGGTCAATTAAACTGTAGGTGGGTCTTTGTGAGAAAAGTAAATCACGGTGTCATCAGCGTACAAATGAAGTTTGCATGAATGAAACACAGAGGATGAGTCGTTGATAAAGATTATGAATAAAAATGGACCCAAGAGAGATCCTTCGGGTACCCCGAGCCCAATAGGTAATTCCTCGGAAATACGGTTGCCAAACAAGTTACAATTCTACGATCTGAAAGGTAGTTTTGTTGTTCCTTCATTAGCCATAAAAGTATTGTATATGACAAGGTAAGGCAATTATAGCGCATAAACATTACCCTTTCTGGCAAAAAAGGCACGAAGCTTACAGAGAATTCCGATAAACATTTTGAGACCTTATTTGCAATGGTAAAACGGCACATGTTAAAAGATAATGCGTCATCTAAAATTACCCTTAGAAACTTCACTGTTGGTGAACAGTACAAAGAAATTTCGGTCATATATATTTTTCACATCAGAAATATCACATTACTTTATCATTTACTTAACATGCAACTCTGTAGCTGACGAATGGTTGAAGTCAATATGTATGAAAAGCATACCCGCATTTTTCTAATAAAGAGCAGAAAATCTCTTCACAATGTCGAGGTAGGAGGAAGCATGTGACATAATGATGCAACCCTGCAAATGCTAGAATTTAAAGGTAAATTTTGAATGCACACAATACAGTGCGTCCCAGGAAAAACGAAACCGAGAATAATCGATGTTTTATCATAACTTAATCACAATTATAATTAATAAATGACATTATTTGTAAAGCTTAGATCCTCCTCTTTCATTTGATGCAATTCATAATTATGATACAAAGTTCACGCATGACTGATTAAAAACAATTTGAAGAAAGAAAACCAAAAGTCATTTGGCGGGCGGTATCTGAATTTCAAGGAGATAATTACTAGAAAGTTCAATTTCTGCCCTAACTAATACTATTATATAATATATATATAATAATAATGTGACACCTGAATCGGGAAAAATGAGTCAGGAATAACAAAGTTCTGTTTGTTTAAAGTAATTCTTGCATTTCCATAACAAAAGACTCCGTTTCGTTGACGTTCAGCGATGCATCAAGTCTTTCGTCTTCTTTGGGGGAGTTTTGACGTTTTATTGAATTATTAAAGAAAGAAGACGATTCGTTGTACCGTTCTCGCCTCTTAATCCTTGTCTGAATTCAGTTTTTTCCCTCCGCGCAAGCGCGAAAGGTTTGACGTTTCATTTAATTATTAGAGAAAAAAAACGATTCGTTGTATCGTTCTCGACTCTTAATCCTTGATCTTGTCTGCTCCTTTTTCTTTCCTTTTTTTTCCTCTTTTCTCTCTCTCCCTTTTTTTTTTTGGGGGGGGGGGGCGGCGTTTGTGGGGGTGACCGCCCCACCGCCCCCTGGCTAGGCGCCTGCTCTCTCTCTCTCTCTCTCTCTCTCCCTCTCTCTCTCTCTCTCTCTCTCTTCTCTCTCTCTCTCTCTCTCTCTTCCTATCTCTCTTTCTCTCTCTCTCTATTTCTATATCTCTCTCTCTCTCTCCTTCTCATTTTTAAAATATCTTTCTTTCTGCCTCTCTCTCCCTCCCCCTCTCTCTCTCTCTCTCTCTCTCTCTCTCGCTTTCTCTCTTCCTCCCTCTCCCCTTCTTCTCCAATATTGTTGATGTAAACATTTCGTATTAACATTGCACATTCCGCTTGATTCAGCCTTTGATGATCTATTGATATATTTTCATAATTCTTATTTCAACTCAATTCACCACACAGAACTGCGATCAGAAAGATGGCACACGGCAATTTGTCCTACCAATCTCCTACCGACGTCGCTATCTTCTGGATTCTTCGTGTAGTCGTACCGGTAGTGGCTCTTGGAGTTATCCTTGCCATTGCCTTCCTCATCTACACATGCTGCCGCAAGAGAAAAACAGGTGAGCAATATAATGATGCTCATGATCATTTGCTGGAAATGTTTCTAGGAATTGCCCCCCCCCCCCCCTCTTTTGGTACATAATGCTGAATCCGTCGTACAAATGTCAAGTTAGAAATCTTTTATACCTTTGTTTTCTTCCCCTTCTCTCTTTCTCTCTCTTCATAATTCCTTCTCTCTATCTTTCTTCTCTCTGTTTTTGTTACCAGAACACAAATCAGAAGGTGATTATCCTCTGGAGAGATTTGCGCCCTCTAGGTCCAGTAGTAGATATGAGAAGATTTCCCTGGCATCATCTTCAGGTTCGAGCACTTCGGAGGGATATGGATCACTGCATGTAAGTTAACAGCAGGAGCAGTGGCGTATCCATCGGGGGGGGGGGGGGGGGGGGGGGGGGAGGGTGCTCGGGAAAAACAAGGCTGGCATGTATAAAGTACACTTCGGTAAAGACATGAGAAGATATCTCAAAATGAGACTTTGCTTTTACATTGTTTGGTTGTTTTGTTTTCTATCGTTATTTGTTATGTTATTTTGTTTTGCTTTTTTATTGCGTGTGCTTTGATTTGTTTCTGTTCTTTTGCTTGCTTGCTTTCTTGCTTGAGAGATTTTCAAGGATTGCTCTGCGCTCATCCCAAAACAGATCCCCAGATCCGCCACGGAACTAAGTTTTGAACAGTGTTTGACCAATAGTTGGCATTAGGACTTTGCTTAGTGCTAGAAACTAACCCGACGCAGAGCCTAAATGCGTGCCAAGCGTTGGAATCACCAATCAATGTATTGAGTTGTAGAGAGCGAGCTATACAGTCCTGAGAATATAGAAACTATATCTATCAAAACTAAAGTGTCAAAATCACTTCATGAAAAGAGATTGAAAAGATTAATCAAACGTTATAGGCAACGGTGTAATTCGAATATGAAGGCAATATGAGCTACCCTTTTCAGGGGAATTCCTGATATAAAATTCTGCCAAACTGACATACACAGAATCTCAACGAGAAGGCTCTTAAAGTATTGTTTTTTTTTAAATTAAAATTCAACCTCCTCTTGTAAGTGCCCATGACTAAACGAACTGCCTTCATGAAAGTTTAATCATTTTGGTGTCTGTGATAGAGTCACTCCTTGCTGCTTGGCCGCCACGCCTCCTCCGTCCATGAGTTAACTCCGGTCGACGACGCCAACTATCTCGACATCAGCGACGTCGAGACATCGCCCGGTGACCTGGGTCAGGTTCTCGTCTCGCTGTCGTACAGCAAGTCGAAAGGGTTGACGATGACGATACTCGAAGCCACGAATCTGTTGTTGAGGCCCTTTTCGGAGAGCATTGATCCGTATGTTAGGATAAGAGTCAAGTCCAATGATAAAGGTATAGTCTATACCCATACCCGAATTCTACTGAATTGATTAAGACACGTTGTTCAGCTGCATTAGCGGGAATCCCACTAAAGCATAGGTATTTATCGATGACGAATTATAGTGGGATTCAAGCTTTTCAGGTCCACACACGTTACATGTTATAGTAATAAAATTATGTGCAGGTATCCAGCCTTGCCCCCTTCTTTCTTTACTTCCTCATTTGTTTATCTCCCTTTCTATTATTCCCTTATCTCCTCTCTATCTGCCCCCTCCCACTTTCTGTCTTCTACCCCCCTTCTCATCGTCTCTCTCTCTCTCTCTTTCTCTTTCTCTATCTCTATCTCTATCTCCGCTCTTCTTTTCTCCCTCTATTTTCTCATTGCTCCTTTCTCTTTTGACTCTTTATTTGTTTTCTTAAAGGCACACTGCCATACTTGTAGCTACTTGCTCCCTCTATATAGAAAACTTCCCGAATCGGTGACTGTTGGTCCCCATGATCCTCTTTTTCTTATGTTAAATGAGAGCTAAGTTAATGAGATGGCCACCTGTCACAGTGACCTTGATGGCTCTCTGTGTGGTCTAATCCCTTCTGGCCCAGTAGTGGTGACGGTCTTTAAAGCCTCCCTTCTAGTTCTTAATCTTTATTATTTTGTTACATTTTTTTAAAGCGTTCAGTTAGGGTGAATTCCTTCAAGTAGGTTGATGGGTGGAGTTTGATGATAGCATGATATTCGTTTTGGTGGACGTAGATGTTTTTGTTATTTTTTTAAATCTCTGATTGATTCATTTATTTTCCTGTTACAATGTCAAGAGAATGTTGAATTATTTTGACAATTTTTGTATATGTGTTTGTTTCGTATTTCAGATCATTTTCAAGATTTTCAGTTCCAAAGCTCGGTGAAGAGAAAAACACAGAACCCGATTTTTGAAGAAACTTTTGTCGTAAATCTGTCCCCCGTAGAGCTCAGGCGCTACGTTATTCAACTGGTGGTGGTCAACTATCACAAATACTCGCGAAAAGACGTGATTGGCGAGATTTGTATACCCCTTCATGACGTCACGACAACATACGAGATTACGAAGGCCTACGATCTTCAGGCGCCACAAAAGGTTATTTAAAACAGAAATTAAATGAAAATGATAAAATGAAGGCTATTGAATCTCAAAATCTTTACAAAGCATGAAATCAATTTTACTCGAATTTCCCGAAAAATTTGTTTTACGCTTGCTCGCATGTATTTTGTTCACTTTTACATTATGAGGCTGTGCGTAAAACCAGGATTGGTTATAATTTCATCTAAAAATAAGACATAATTGGTCACAATGTGAGCTCACAAACCTGAAGATATTTGTTCGCTCACATGAATCTCCAGACCATCACATGTAACACACACATCTGCAAAATGTTAAAAAAATATTTCGGACCATGTAAAGAGAAAATCTTAAAGTTCATCCCTGATAATGTATGAATTACAATGTAGACATAGTTTTATAGCAATGTCAAAAATTGTATTTTGGGGGCTTTGAGGTGCCCCCTTTTTAAAAAAGAAAGTGTGATTTTTTTTTGTGTTGGTCTCCCTCACTGGCCCACGTGTCTGTTAGACTAAGATTTGAAAACATTGAATGAAGGTCAAAACAAACGTTTTTTTTTTTCTTCCAGAAATTGTGCGGTGAGATACTACTTTCGTTGAGCTACCTGCCGACTTCCAATCGATTGCTTCTTGGTATCTTACGAGCGAGCAATCTTACATGTCCAGATGACTCGAGGAATATAGGTAGGCTGATAACGATGACATCATCATCATCATCATCATCATCATCGTTATTTTAGGTGTATTATTAAATAACAATACACCTGAATATTAACCATGAAGACAATATCATTACTATTCGTTTTGCAGCCGTCATTTATTTGTATACTATTATAATTGTTATTGTAATTATTACTGTTATTATAAAATTATAATAATTATTATTATTATTATTATCATTATTATTGATAATGTTGTTTAAAATGATGATGATGGCTTCTTGCACAGCCAGCGCCGGTCTCCGCCTCTGCTGGGCGCTCATGGCACTTGCTCTAGAATGTCTCACAATTCAATGTTCTTGGTCAGTATGTGTAACTGAGAATGATATTTATTGTTTTCAGACCCTTGCGTCCAAGCCAGTCTCATCATGGGCGGAAGAAAATACAGGAAAAAGAAGACTGGCGTCGTCACAGCCGATGTCAACCCCGTATTCAACGACAAATTCTTCTTTGAAATCCCGGCGGAGAAACTGGAACGTATCCAGATTCTAGTCGCCGTTACGAACGAGCGAGAGAGCGGACGACAGGACTCGGACACGGACCCCAGTTACAGCGACGCTGAAGTCGGTCAAGTGATACTGGCCTATCGGAGCACCCCTCGGGCGCATGCGCATTGGATGAAAATGATGAGCAATCCGAGAGAAAAGTATTGTCAGTGGTATGATTTAACAGTTTAAAATGTCTTCCAAAAAGCGATGGGTTGGGATGGTCGATTAGATCCCACTTGTTCGAAAGACCACAAGCTTCGTTCTCTTTGACCTCCGGCACATCGGCTATAGTGGGCAACCTTCTCGAAACGAAAGGTTCACCAGACGGATCACCAGAGGGATCACCAGACCATGGGTTTGGGTAGGTAGCGCGAGTATTGTGCCCAACTCGAACGGGTAAGCCAAATATGGCAAACTCTTTTAATCACGTCCTCTCTGACCTCTAACCTCGGATAAATATTTAAAGCCGAAAGTGATTCATTTAAATTAAGTATAAATATGTGATTGCCAAGGTGGCTAAGAATCTTTCACCATGGAGGAGTGAAATCACATGCAGGGCGGAGTGCTCTCACGTGTCGTTGAATTTGAACAAGTTGTATTCACTCTTTCCAACTTCCAAAAAAACCAAAACCTTTCAACGGGAGGATGGGGTGTGGCCCGACTCCACCCAATGCTGTATACGCTTTATCACAATTTGATTCAAGAGTGAAGCATGTGGCCTACCAAAGAAATATTCGAATATTGCTCTGAAAAACAGCTTATAAAAAGGACGTTCTCTGAGGAAAGCAAATTAATTACATTTCAAAATATAGGCTAGTAGCGGCGTAACACTAGGTGGAACAAATAAAATGGGTTTGTTAGCATAGAAGACAGAGATAAATAGAGAGAGTGAGATAAAGAAAGGGACAGAGAGAAAATAGAGATAGAAGTCCTTAGGGGGTCCTTGTAAGCTATTGCTCAGAGCCGTCGATGTATGTTGTGTAAGTTGGACCTCAGCGCTCGTTGCTCTGTACAGCATGAACTCGAGTTGGCCTGACTACGTGTATAATTGGCTCTGTTGACAGTTAGCTTTGATTATAAACAAATACATAGACTCATTTTTCAACTCTTTATATCACTTTGTTCCTTAGGATCATTACATGCTATTAAGTACGTTTTTATGATAAGAGAGTTGAATTATCTTCTGGTGCAGTTAGTGGGACTAATTTTCGTTAAAATTATTGATGACTCTAAAACATCCCCTCATTTCATCTAAAAATCGCTTCTTTAGAATACATATGGCGGGGTAAAATGACATGACGGTTCTCATTATTTACCTCAATCGTTGTTTGACTGTTTTATTTCAATTAAAATGTTTTACTTTGTATTTATTATTTATATTTTAAATGTTTTATGAAGATAATGTCATGGCTTGAATTGATTGGGATAGAAAAAAATTCCCGTATCTCTTACTGTTCTGTCACTGTATATTTCAATATTATAATTACGTCTGCCTTTGTTCGTTTTTTCTGACCCCCCCCCCCTATCTCTGTGCCTGTCAGCCCCTCTGTCTATTGTGTGTGTCTGTCATTCTACACTGCTGCCCATAGAAATGGAATAGTTTTTTCTCACCTCTGAAATGAAATTATTGTGACAATGACAAAGATAAATTGTTATCTTTTCAGAACTTTATCTATCAACCATAAATCGGATTTTAACAATCATTTTCATGAAATAAGGTAAGAAAATGTATTCCAAACTATATAGGCAGCGGTGTACATTATATATATATATATATATATATCCCTCTTTCTCTCTCTCTCTCTCTCTCTCTCTCTCTCTCTCTCTCTCTCTCTGTACCTACTATTCTGTATAAAGAACAGGGTTGTGTAATGGTTATCCTCAAGGAATCTTCCAGGATATTCATACGATTTGTAAAGCCTTTATGGAAGAAGTGCAACTTTAATACGATACTAATCAGACATTTGTTTTAGTTATTCTCAATTCTGTTTCTTTATGGTTTTGCAAACGACTTTATCTATGTAGATTAAATTTATATTGTTTATTTCAATACGTAAATGATGTTAAATTGTCGATGAATTTATATTGCACAAATACATTGAAATGTATATTGTTACTAATATGATTGATTGATTGATTGATTTGTTTTATTGTCCACATTGAGTGGAAATTCTTCTTTCACATGGTTCCAACTATGTACATTATATAGAGCATAGGTCAAATTGAACAAATTTTTAGTAACACATTGCTCATTAATAAACTCAGCACTACATTTTTTTAAAACAATAAATCATACTTTTACATTTTAACTATATGATCATATGGACTCGTTGACAACTGTATAATTAATTTAAATATTCATGTATGAATAATATTAATCATTTTAAATGTTAGAGTATACTTAGTACCAAAATACATTAACGATATCGCCCCCCCCCTCCCATTACCTTCAGGAAACCTCTCATCTTATTACTTTACTATTGAACTATTTTTACTTTACTATTCATACTATATGGTATGATTATGTGCAATAAATTCAATGAAACGTAAGACATTATTTTGAAAATGGTGTGTGCAATTTATTTCGCCATTTACTCCCACCTGACTATCATAGACATATCACTGACGGGATCATGCATTATGGTCCAACTTTATGCCAGGTTTATGCTCTGGGTCATATTGGATTAATACATTTTATAGAATGGGTTTAGAAATCCCAGCAATCTGATTGGTTACGAGCCAGTGAGCACAATTCAAATAATTTCACTAACTGCATAAATTATGCACAAAAAGGTTGCGATACGCTGGGTATAATGCTCAATCACATTCCAAAATTACTGTAGGAATTTTGCGTGTGAAATTTATAGGGATAACAGTCTCTGCACAGCGGTGTGCGCGTCGCTCTGCAATGTGTTTTTCCGCCGCAAAAAGTCGAGGTAATCTTCATAGTTGACATCGTCGTACCGCCTGAGAAAGACTCGTTCGCCCTTGATAGATAGTCCGTCTCGGAAAAGTTTATAGCGAGCATTCTGATTTTCTAAGGTTATCAACCATCTAAATTTAAAGCGGAAAGAAAATAAAATAAAAAGAAAATGAAGAAGAAAAATATGATGACGATGATGATGATGATGTTCAGGGTCACTCCATCTATAAGAGATAGGTGACTAAAGAGATTTTGTGAAGTGGTCATTTTTTAGGGTCAGGACCCCGGCCCCCCCCCCCCAATCAGTGTTATTTAGGGTACGCATATGCGTGTTCCAACCGACCCCCTTTTCAGCAAAAGTCCGGTGTGTAAAGTCAATACGGCTCGACCCTTTTCTTTTGTATACGAGCCTTTTTCAGCACCCCCCTTTTCAGCAAAAGTCCGGTGTGTAAAGTCAATACGGATCGACCTTTTCTTTTGTTACGAAAAGGACATTTTGGTAACACGCATGGGGTCCGTCCGTTCTCGGAATGGGGGGGGGGGGGGGGGGGGGGGGCGGGGTCAGGACTCAAAACACTGGTTCTTGTTTTAGTTGAAAATTCGGCCAACGTAACAATTCTGGCCGAAGCATGGTGTCGTACAATCCAATTCAAAAAATTATTTTAAAAAATCTTCTTTTTTTAATATCAAGAAAATGATAAAGACTAAGGAAGTCTTTTGATAGGCCACCGCAGAGTGGTAAGCTTTTGCAATTTAAGATATCTGGCATACTCGGCTTTTAATAAATTCCACATCAAGAACATGAAATATCCCATGATAATAGAAAATATCAATGATTTGAATCAACATTTTATGCCTTTTAAAATAACTTTTACAAAATATTTCAAAGTTGCTAACAGCTTTCCATAATTGTTAAGTCCAACTTTGAGATAATTTCAACCTAAGATCTTTGTGAAACACCCCTTAGGACAAGTTTCATTTAAGCATCCCCTTTCCTACCCCAACTATTTGGCTTTATATGTCTATTTTATACTACAGTTTATTGTTGAAGGTTCTCAACTCTCTTATTAGGGGTTCAATACTTTCCTGGTGCTTATCTCACAAACGTGTTCATCTCGACCTAGGTGCGTTAAGACAGTGCAACAATAAATGTAAGACCTTCAGGAAAAGCCGTTTTTAATAATAATGAGTTTAGTATACCGTAAAGCCATAATTACACCAACCTGTTATCGACTCCTGCTGCCCCTAGAACCACGTTCATATCCACAAACTGAATACTTTTAATCCTGCTCACTTCAATGGCTCGTCGTTTCTTGATATCTTCTAAGACATCCATGTGCGTCACGTCATATCCCGGTAGGAGAAGCACAACGTCAGTGGGGCAGGCTGCGGTGGGGCGTTGAAGAAGCGAATCTTCTTTAGAGCAAAGTGGTCTTTGCCCATCGACAGCCTCTGGTCACCGTGTTGTCGGCTGCTGGTGCTAGATGTTATATGTGTGGTGGTACGCCCTCTGCGGTGATGTTTGGACGGGGATGTGATGTGGTTGACTCTCAGCTGTTGCCTGAGCATGTGAACGAAACATTTTTGAAACAGCTTCATAATGTTGGTAGGGGTTTTGTTCGAACATTATTTGATCAAACAAAAGGAACGCTGTCAAGTTTGTCGTTAGACTTCAAGAAGATTAATATGCATCGAACAGCACAAGCCACCACATAACAATCATTATGTCATTTATAATCATTGTCAAACGAAAGATTTATCATGAAAAGTGTTGCATGTAAAATTGTAGTTTAAAAAATAAACTGTCCGAATAACCAAACTTCTCCGGACACACGAAGTAGTATTACTTCCATGCTGAAAGATCTTGAATGGGGTACACTAATTGCTGAACGGAGAAATAGCTTGACTAACTACCTTCTTCACAGCTCATGACCTGTGTCCAGACAGCTTATTAGGCTACCGTTATTTATCCGGACAGTTGATTTAAAACAGCAATTTCAAGAAGTTAACAAGCGATATTTCATAAATCGTCTCAGACTTAAGTTGGACGACATCATAAAGGACAAAAATGTAATAAATGTTAGTGCTATTTGCTGATTATTTTCCGATAAATCCGAAGGCAGAACCGGCTTCACCCTGTTTTTCTTTTAACCAATGATCACATAATATTAAGTCTTATACTTATAGTGAAACTAGTTCAAACAAAGATTCAAATAAATCATCCATTCCTTCCGACTGGAATTCTTTACTACCATCCATAGTTAAATTTAAAAATCCCGACGTATTCTAGATCATGACTTGTGCAACAGCGTTCTTCTTCTCCTTAATAATTTTTTCCGCTTGACAAAGAACTCTGTCGGGGATAGTCTTTAGAAAAGAAACACAAGAAGAATGAAATACGGAAATAAGCGTAAAAGGAGATTGTCATAAAAAAAAAATCAGTGCAGATCGGGGATAACAGTCGTCTTCCCTATAGAAGGATGAGATCTGTGAGTGCAGCAGACATCAAATCAGGTGGGCGTTTCACAAAGCCTTTTTTTCAATGACAAATGACAAAAATCAGTGACAACTTTGTCGGTTACCAATCAGAAGTAAGGATTTCAGTAGCTTATAACAAAAACTGTCATTTATCACTGATGACTAGTTTTGTGAAACGCTCCCCCCCCCCCCCCCAGTCAGAGGGAGAAGCCTCTCCTGGATGGGTAGTGGTAGGCTGGTAATAAACGACGACCTCACTGTGAAGTAGAGAGGGCATTCACCCCCCCCCCCCCCCCCCACTCAGTGTTATTTAGGGAACGCATTTGCATGTTCCCTCCTTTTGAAAACACCCCCTAAGTCCGGCGTGTAAAGTCAATACGGGTCGGATTTGTGTGTACTACGAGCCGGACTTTGGTGCGTGAAAAGTACCCCTTTACCGGACATTTTGGGAACACGCATGGTATCCCTCCGTTCACGAAGTGGGGGGGGGGGGGGGCATTCCCGAATCATGTGCGTGACTGTCTTATTGAACTTGGGTTCTTCACAACCTTCGATCACATATACTGTGATTTTCTGTTTACTCTTAGGATTTGACTCAGTTGAGTCATATTATTTTCTGATTTTTATTCAGATCCTTACTGCTCTTCAAAATAGGGGCCCAATCCAATAACAAAAATAAAAACAAGACAAAGTAGCTATGCAATATGTTGATCATGCTTGCTAACTCACCGAATTGTAGGTTGAGTTCGAGATAGGATCGGGAATTTAATGCTAGTGGTAATCCTTCGGGCTCCTACAGATCGGTGCTTTGAGGCCTTCCCGACCTTCTTCAATGATTCCAGTCTGTTATCTGAGATAGCGCCCCCTCCTTCTTTCGACTGTGCCACCGGCGAGTTGGAGATGGTGTTCAACAGTGATGATGTGCTACTCGCTGATGGGCCCACAAAAGGGCTGGTTAGTCGACGTCGAGAGCTTGATATAGGCATTCTTAAGAGATATGATTTAGGCTTTTTGATCCAAATAAAACGTTAAGCCAAATCAGTTTTTACTTCGTTTAACTATAAACCGCATTGAGCTCACCATTGAAAAGGGCGATGATGTCAAAGAATTTCCAAACTTTAGTTCGTCGCCTCCCTCGAGATATGATGCACTTATTAGATTTTGCTGGAAAACCCCACTTTATTTTTTATTGAAATCAAACTTAATTTTAGTCTTTCTTAACACCCACTATTTTGACAATTTTCTGAAAGTTTTTTTTTCATATCTAATTCTTGCAAGTGCAGATGAGCGCGCAAAATTGATACCCAATATTGCGCGCAGGCGCAATGTAGCGTGCGCGCTTGTGGCCATAAACATTAAAATTAACATTAACATGGCTCGTGGCCATTAACACCGTGGTTGATTCCGGGTTGATTAACATTAATTCGACTTGAATTGTATATTATACAGTGTTAAATTGACGAATTCAAAATGATTGTACATTTCTCTAATACCCCAATATGGGTGACACCCTACCCGCACCTCGGTGACACGACATTTGCTCCTGCGACAATTGCTCCGGGCTTTATTTCGTCTAAGATGTAGGGTTAGGGTTAGGGTTTCAATAGGGTTTTATGTTAGGTTTAGGGTTAGGTTTAGGGTAGGGTATAGTGTTGAATCCAGGGTTGAAGTTAGCCATTCGATTAGTGTATGAAATTTACAGAGGAGCAATTGTCGCCGGAGCAAATGTCATGGAATCCGCACCTCCAGTCAAAACTCAGACGAGTAGTTTGGAGGACCAACCAACCAAGAACCAAGAAGAATGAGAATAAATTGCCATTGCCATTGTCATTTGCCTACTAGCTAGTTGTATATGCAATCGAATCATCCCCGCGGCCACCCGCCCGGTCTACTTTTTTCGTTTCGTTTCGTTTTTTCCTTCTTTTATCTTAATTATTATCTTTCTTGTTCTTTTCCTTTCTTTCCCCTATTGCCTTGTTTATTTATTTATTCGCCTCCAAGTGCAGTTATTGGAGAAGGATAAGATAAAAGAAAAGGAGGATGAGAGGAAGAGGAGGAAAAGAAGAAGCAGCAGAAGAAGAACAAGAAGAACAATAATAATAAGAAAAACGAAAAAAATAATAATAAAGGAATATGTGATATTATATCATTAAAAAAATTAAATATTGTTATTATTTTTAAATGTCTTTCTGTATGAGAGGTCAACAATAATGCTCTTAACGATCCATTTTCGTCATCCAGGGGGGCGAACGTGCCTTGGCCCCCCGCCCCCCCCCCCCGACCAAAAAACAAAAACAAAAAAACTTGCAAATAAAAAGGAAAAAAAAATGGTGACCAGGATTTTTTTTGTAGCTCAAGGGGGCTTACCCCCCCCCCCCCCACACTGAGCGAATTATCGGCCGGCGCGATTTTCAAATTGCCGGGGGCAAAAAAAAAAAGAAAACTCTGCTCACTACCCCCCCCCCCCCAAGTCATGGGTCATGTGATGTTGGGCATTATGAAGGGGTGACCAAAGTTCGCGGATATTTTTCTTTTATTGCACATTACAAAAAATCCAGATCAACAAATATCATGTTCCATACGTCATAAGATTCGTAATTTATCATATAATCAGATTATATAATATTCCAAGGCTTTATTCACTTCAAATCAATGATAAGACGAGAATATCGGAAGCCTTACCACTACCGACGTCCGTCAAAAAGTGTGACCTAAGTTCGCGCATGATATTTACTGCCCTCCAAAAAGTTACGTAGTTTCAATCAGAAGCCGAACTTTATATTGAGACTTTGAAAAAGATAATAATTTCTCTCTATCATTGAAATATTGCCCGATAAAAATACCCTTGTTAAATTTTGCAAACAAAAGACAATATTTGTCAATGTTTATGTGTTATTGACAATGTAGTCTCTATCTGCATGTCATTTGTTTGTTTGAAAAAATTATCATGTGTCTCCTTTTTATATGTCAGCCATACACAAGTTCTTGATCTTTTCTCTCTTTGTCTCTCCACTTTCCCCTTTTAAATTTGTATTCTTACGAAACCCATAGATTCATTGAAATTCACAAACACAAATACGGTGGAATTAAGCAGGTGCGCAGGTTCGTTTTTTGCGTAAGAAATTGGAATTTTATCATTAGTTTTCGGAGTCAATCCCTCTAATAAACTGATTTTCATATAACAAAAACACAATTTGTTATGATAAAAAGCGTGAAATAGCTAGCTTATTCACATTTTTATGTCGCATTTTGACCTTAGGAGTTGTCGACGGGTGCCTCATTCATATTAACAAAGCTGATTTAATTATTGAATCAGGAATAATGTTCCTCAAGCGTGAAAGAAAAGAAGAAATAAGGATTACAAAAAAGGTATAACATAAGGAAAGACAGAAAGAGAATATGAGAGAAGGATGAAAAAACAGAGTGAAAGAGAGAAAAAGCCCCACTGAAATATAAAGATTATTATAAAGGAAAGGTAGAAAGAAAAAGGAATGGACGGATAAAAACAAAGGTTGACACATTGAAAAATAGAAAGATAAGATGCTAGAAGGATCAAATCTAAGAATAGCATAAGGAAACATATATAATTAAATGATGAAAGAAGGACAAAAACAATAACATAGAAAGAAAGAAGATAAGATAAATGAAGAGAATGAAGAAATACAAAGCGAAATATAGAGAGAAAGATTAGGCCTATAAAGGAGAAAAATAAAATAAAGAGTTAAAAGAAAGAAACTGCCCGTTTCAAATAATTAAAACTTAATTCTCTTTGGGAATTATGCAAACCAAACGTAAAACAAACAATACCATATAAACAATCAAGGAAAAAAAGAAAGAAAAAAGAAACAAGAACTACAAAATACTAAATACCCCCTATAGCTCCTCTCCCAATAAAACAAGTAGGGGGTCTACACTAAAAAATACAAAATAAAAGCTAAACAAAACAAAATAGCATTCGTTCGTTCGTGTCTCCTTAGATCAAGATTAATGTAATCTTGTAGCGTGTCCCCATTTAAAACAATTATACAATAACAGTTAACATTACATTTAATTAATAGCAAAAATAGAAAAAAATATTGCATATATATATATTATGAATCAATTAATTTGGTCGATCCAGTTCTATGGCACAAACACGCAGAGGCGTACGCGGGGGGGGGGGGGGGGGGGTTGGGGGTTCAAACCCCCCTTTGGTATTTTTATGTGTGTAAACCCCCCTAAAAAACTAAAACCCGCCCCTTTGTTTTTTGTTTTTTGTTTTGTTTTGTTTGTTTTTTTTAGTTTAAAAAAAAAAAAAAAAAAAATTATGCCCACGGCTAACGTAAAGTGACCTTAACGAAAAAAATGTAAAATTTTCAAATTTCGAGACAAAAAAAAAAAGTGTCCGCTTACCCCCCCCCCCCCCCCCCCCCCCCACTGAGCGACTTTTCGGTTGGCTCGGTCGTTGCGATTTTTTTTGGACTACCAAAAAGTGTCCGCTTACCCCCCCCCCCCCCCCCCCCCCCCCCCACCCACTGAGCGACTTTTCGGCAGGCGCGATTTTCAAATTTTCGGGAGCAAAATATTTTGGGCCAGATTTTAACCCCCCCCCCCCCCTTGAAAAAATCCTGCGTACGCCCCTGCAAACACGGCACTACTGGACAGAGATCCTTATAATTACAGAGCTTGGTCTTGTTGCTCTGTTCGCCAGCAGAACAAAATAGCAGTCAAACATAATATCCTAAAGCGCAATAACAATCGAAGAATTAAAAACAAAACATTCAGAAATAAACTTAACAACAGGAAACAATAACAGAAGAAAAATGCAAGGTGAAATTAAAAAAAAAAAACAGGAAAAACACATAAACTTGTTGACAAGTTCACAAACCCTTTTCTTTTTTACCCCCTACAAGTGGCCTAGCAGATGCAAAAAGAGGCGAAACAATTTCAAAGTTTTTGATTGGTCGATTGTTTCATGAATATGTACTACGTAATACATGTAATAGTAAACAAACTCTGCTGGTCGCGGGATGTCGTCTTCCAACGGGTGCGGCGTCGCGGCGCTGGTATACTAATGACAAATTACATGCGAAAGCTGACTGAACAACACGGGAACCCGTCGGCGTGCAAAACACCGAGCATTAGTGTGCGCGGCCGGATAACCATCGCATCCAAAGGAGAAAAAAGAAACTGCACGTGAATATCGACGACGTGCATTGATTGCTGCGAGCTTAACGCTTGAGAATTGCATCTTTGACTGGTAGCTCTCGTTCGCACTTAAAGACGTCGCCGCGACACATTTTTGAATGAAATCTTTAACCCATTTTGGATGCTGTGCTTTCAGAGGTTTAACTCTCGTGATGTTTTTGAAATAATCCGAAGGAGCAAAGATCTACAAAAGTAGCGATGGCTGAAAAAGATTCAGGAACGAAATCTCGCAACATATCTTCGCCCGCGCCCAAGGCCTACTACTCGAGTGTAATTGAACTGGACCCCGTAAGTTCTTCATCGGACATGGGTAGTAGCGGGGCGGGCCAGGCCCCCGGTTGTATGGCCTACAATCAACAAGCAGACAGCTCTTCGCGTAGCCCTCTTGTTCAAACTTTGAACCTCAACAATAGTGTGCAGAATGACAAAGAATTTGAGAGAAAGTACTCAGAACATGTGAGCAAAAGACCGTCAGTTCGGATGAGCTTTCAAGGGAGAGTCTATAATTTCTTGGAGAGACCATCCGGATGGAAATGCTTTGCCTACCATTTTGCTGTGTAAGTAAAATTATGAACAATAATATTCATTAGAATATGTAGACATTGATTAACATTGTATGATGGAGGGTAGGGTGTCCGGACATTTAACATAATATTAAGACATTATTTTGCCTTCGGATTTAACAGAAATATTCATCAAATAGCACTAAATGTTAGCGTTATAAATATTTGACCTTTTTAGTTGATAAAATTGTCCAACATTAGTCTTTATACCAGTAGTCTAACTTAAGAATATTAATGAAATATTGCTTGTAAAATTCTATAAATATTGCTGTTTAAAATCAACTGTCCGGATACACAACCTGTCCGGACGTCAGACAAACAACGTCTGGGTATACTAATTACTATAGTCTGTAGACATGTCTAGCCTATGTATAGATGTATGGTAGGCTATTTATTCTAAATAGGAACATTAAAGGGGCTTTTAACCATAGTCTCTTGTAATCTATCTAGATTTGTATAAATGTAAAACGGTTTACCACTTGGAGGAGTTTTGTAAAATATTTTGTATTTTGACACTCTTCTCCAAAAGAGATACAGTGGAGCCAGAGGTAGTTTCATTAGAACATATCCTGGAATGACCAGTCTATGCTAAGCTAAGTACAGGGGCGGTATTCTGAACCCTGTGTTATCTCTAATATTGTTGTATCTTTGAAGATAAGATAAAGTTGGTATTCTGAACATTGTTGTAACTTTTGTGTTATCTTTTGCTGTATCTTTTCTCTCATCTCATTGGCCGCGCCTGCGCTCATAGTTTGGTGCGCTTGTATTTGTGCGTATTATTAATAAAGTGGTGTTTAATCCT